GGAGGCCCTCGCCTGGCTCATGGTTTCATACTGGGGGACGAGCTGGACGCTGACATTACTGTGTGCAGTGATGCTGGCAACATCACAGGTTATTTCAACACAACTATTGTTACCGGAAGGAGCCTGTTACACAAAAGATAACTCACTAACTAAATCTAGCTAAAGCACTTTGACACTCTGCAGAAACAAAAAGCATCTTTTCATCTCCTCACTAGTCTCAGGGCGGATGGCTGCAGCACGACTTTGGTCACCTGTCCGTTTTCAAGAAGTCCAAGTGGAATCACCTGGTGCACAAGTTTGTCATCGGACATTTGAAGGTAACATTTTAAGATGTGATGTTTATTTTCTTGTAAAATGTTTCTCAGGTATTAAAAGGCTGTTTTGACAGGGAGCTTCAGCCAACTGGTGGAATCATCTACATTTCAGTCACCACGCCAAACCCAACGTCCTGAGTAAAGATCCTGATGTCAACATGTCGGGCATCTTTGTTCTTGGCGCCATTCAACCTGTGGAGGCGAGTAGATAAAAGAAAAAGTATTTCTGAACCTTTTTTAAAAAATATATATACAGCTTATTTACTCACGTGAATCTGTTCTTTTGTTCCTCGCAGTACGGCATTAAAAAGATCAAACAGATGCCATATAACCATCAACATCAGTACTACTTTCTTCGTACGTTTAAAGTCATTAAAGTATTTAAAAGAAACAAAAAGTTTTCCAAAGAAAACCTGAGCATTTTATGTTTTTACTTTAGTGGGACCACCGCTGCTCATTCCACTCGTCTTCAACCTTCAGATATTGAATGTCATGATTTCTCGCCGCAACTGGGTGGTAAGAAGCATCTACAGCTGTTTCTGTTTGTAATAAACTGTTATAGGGTTCATGTTGAATCATAAATAAATGAAAAAAAGGGATATTATGGATGATGCAATAAAATAGAGAGCAAAATAATGAAATGTATAAAATATACTACATTGCAAAAAGTATTGGTTCACCTGCCTTGACTCACATATGAGCTTAAGTAACATCCCATTCCTAATCCATATGGTTCAATATGACATTGGTCCACCGTTTGCAGCTAGAACAGCTTCAACTCTTCTGGGAGGCTGTCCACAGGTTTAGGAGTGTGTTGATGGGGATTTTTGACCATTCTTCCAGAAGAGCATTTGTGAGGTCACATACTGATATTGGACGAGAAGGCCTGGCTCTCAGTTTCCGCTCTAATTCATCCCAAAGGTGTTTTATCGGGTTGAAGTCAGGACTCTGTGCAGGCCAGTCAAGTTCATCCACACCAGACTCTGCCATCCATGTCTTTATGGACCTTCTTTGTGCACAGGTGCACAGTCATGTTGGAAGAGGAAGGGGCCAGCTCCAAACTGTTCCCACAAAGTTGGGAGCATGGAATTGTCCAAAATGTCTTGGTATGCTGAAGCAGTCAGAGTTCCTTTCACTGGAACTAAGGGGCCAAGCCCAGCTCCTGAAAAACAACCCCACACCATAATCCCCCCTCCACCAAACTTTACACTCGGCACAATGCAGTCAGACACGTACCGTTCTCCTGGCAACCAGCCAGACCCAGACTCATCCATCAGATTGCCAGATGGAGAGGCGTGATTCGTCACTCTAGAGAACGCACCTCCACTGTTCTAGAGTCCAGTGGCAGTGTGCTTTACACCACTGCATCTGACACTTTGCGTTGCACTTGGTGATGCATGGTTTGGATGCAGCTGCTCGACCATGGAAACCCATTCCATGAAGCTCTGTGCTCACTGTTCCTGAGCTAATCTGAAGGCCACGTGAAGTTTGGAGGTCTGTAGTGATCGACTCTGCAGAAAGTTGGCGACCTCTTCACACTATGCGCTTCATCATCCTCTGACCCCGCTCTGTCAGTTTACATGGCCTATCACTTTGTTGCTGAGTTGCTGTCATTCCCAAACACTTCCATTTTCTTATAATACAGCTGACAGTTGACTGTGGAATATTTAGAAGCGAGGAAATTTCACGACTGGATTTGTTGCAGAGGTGCAACCTATCAGCTCCACGCTGGATTTCACTGAGCTCCCGAGAGCGACACATTCTTTCACAAATGTTTGTAAAAACAGTCTGCATGCCTAGCTGCTTCATTTTAGACACCTGTGGCCATGGAAGTGACTGGAACACCTGATTCTGATCATTTGGATGGGTGAGCAAATACTTTAGGCAATGTAGTGTACATCTTATAATAAAATATTAGTATAATAATAATAATCATATTAGTAATAAGATATATATTATGTATCTTACCTTAAGGTATATTATTATATTATATTTTATAGCTTTGTTATCTTTATTTTATTCAGTGATGAACACTAAATTAAACTGGTGGCCCGGGGGCCAAATCAGGCCAATGGGTGAGCTCAGTTCAGTGAACAACTGGGTTCTAAATCGTCAAACAAACTTAATTAATGACATTAACTGCTGGATGTCTGGCCCCTGAGCTTCCAGTAACTGTGGCCCCAAGAACAATTTAGTTGAATAGCCCTGAACTAAATCCTTTGTTTCACACTTTTAACTCCAAAAGGAGGTCAGAATCAGGGAATTAAGGAATTCTAACAAGGTTAAAAAACAAGATGTAACAAATAATGTGATTGAAGTGCCTTCTTAGTTTATAATCCTATACATGAAAAAAGTACTAATATTAAAAAAAAAAAACGGCAATACTTAAAAAAAAGATGAACACCACAGTATCATTAAGCTCTTCAGTGAAATAAACAACATTTAACAAGCACTAAAATGGAGATTTATTCTCACAATCACTACAGACTTCTCTGCCTTTAACTTTGTTCAGAGAAGACATGAACTTCTCTGGACTGAGACTTCTGAGCTCACGGTCCGTCTTTCAGATCTTGTTTTAACAAACAAACTAAAACTGACACTACATGGTCTAGTTGGCAACATTTATTTTGCAAAAAGGGCCAAATCAAGACATTGAAAGGAATCAAAGAGCCACATAGAGATCTGGGGAATTGGAAGATTATTTTCAAGCTTTTTTTATTCATTTTAAAATAGTATGCTTGATAAAATAAAAAAAACCTCTTTAAATATGCATGACAGTATATACTAGTATTTATTATTTATAATGACATACACTCTCTGTGAACTCACTGTCAGTATATTTACTGGTGTAAATATACAAATAAATAAATAAGGTATATTTACGTTTTTGAAGTCTTTAAGTTTCAGACTTATTTTGGAAACACAGCGATGTAAAAAAAATGTTTTAGCCTCTCTTAATCTAAAGGTTTTTGATGTATTTGTCCAAAACTTCAGGCAGGTTTTCATCAGCTTATTTTAAACTGGTTTTCTTTAAAAAAATATTGGGGGCCTGATGGTGATTTCCACTGGCCACTTTTGGCCCCTGGGCCATATGTTGGCCAACCTTGGTCTTGTTGTCTGTCCAAAACAGGTCTCTCTTGTAAAAGAGTCCTCGTGACTCAACGAGACTAACCTGTATAAACAAAGGTTGAATGAAAAAAAAAACACAGAATTCATAAAATCTTTTATGAAAAACTCCAAAAATCAGTTTTAATCATCCTCTGCTCTGAAGCCTTTGGCTTATGGGCTGGCAGCGATATTGCATTAAAGTGCTTTGAGGGGTTTTTAGTATTACATGAGACCTCTAGATGATGAAATGTGTTTAAACAGGGTTTAATCAGGCACGACTGAGAGAAATGGTGCAGTTACTGGACTGAGCTGCCGTCAGTCACGGCCTGTTCAAACCAAAGCATAATAAGACAGAAACCTCAGTTTATTACACACCATGAGTCACCTTTGCTTTGAGCTTTGTTTAAATCCTTTGTTTCAAGCCTGAAATGTAAGAATGTGTACATAATTTGAAATAAAATAAAGTTAATAAAACAACACCTCAAATATTTTAGATTTTTCATGGTCCGATAAAATAAACGTCCCAGTCAAGGGATTAATCATAGCTGTTCTTTATTTACGCATCAAGTATTAGACGAGCGAGTCGAGAGCATTTTTAACTAACCTGCTCTGTCATTTCAAGGATCTGGCGTGGTATTTGTCGTTCTACTTTCGATTCTTCTACTGCTACACCCCGCTGTACGGCCTGCTGGGCTCAGCGGCGCTCATCCTGTTTGTCAGGTACGAATTTAAGCAGCAAGTTTATTTATTAGTTTTATATTTGAACACAAATATAGACACGAAACAATTCCATTTAAACGAGAGTTTATCATTAAAGGTTATGAATGCAACATGAAGGGATAAACTTCTTGAACTGCTTTATGTTGCTGTTTATGTTTGTAGGTTTTTAGAGAGCCACTGGTTTGTGTGGGTGACCCAGATGAACCATCTTCCAATGAATATTGAATATGAGCGGCACCAGGACTGGCTGACCATGCAGGTATGTGGTTCATAACAAAATGATGAAGTTCAACGTCCTGCTTTCCTCATATATTGTGCTTTGTGTGTTAATCTGACTCAACTCCTTTACTCTGGCAACAACAAAGCAAAGTGCCCGTTGCCTTTCGTGCTAGAGATTAAAACTAAGATTACTTTATCAGCAGAAATGACAGAGTTGTGGCTGCTTTGGTAAACTCATGAAAATAGCTGTCTCATGTGATATTGCGACACTTCGCCTGATCTGATATTTGTGTTGTGAATGACTGTCAGCTACTAAACCGCTGTGTTTGTCTCAGTATTGATCAAATTTACATCCTGTATGTAGCCATTTCTGTGTGAGTTAGGGTCAGTAAGCCGTGGTGGCCATCTTGAATTGCTTTACCTCCATAGGTCAAATTGTAGAAGTACATCTAATGGTAACTTTCCGAGCATGAGCAATTTGAGCATGCATCAGGATATTTTCTGACTGTTTCATTAAACTTTGTCCAGAGCTTTAAGAGATAGTTTGTTAACAGACAAACAAGGTTGACCCCAACAGTTAACGTCAAGACTTTTTTACTATATGACGTCTAAAGCAGAAAAACGTTGAGTTGACCCTGACTTAAGTGCTGATTTGATGCGATAAAGGACAGTCTAGCTTGAAACAACAAGTCTTACCTGACTTCTCATCTCAGCTTCAAGTCTTTTACATGGAGTCAAACTTTGCCTTTTTTTGTCTTAAAGTCTTAATTCAATTCAGTTCAGTTTGTTTATATCGCGCCAAGTCACAGCAGAAGTCCTGGCACTGAAGAAGCGTTCATATAGAGAAAAAGTAAGTTACTAACATTATTTATCTTAAAGAGAACTAAAATCACTCATTTTAAACTGTGGACAAAGGGAACAAGCTGTAGCAAGCACAATGTGCAAAACTGTTTTTGACGTTAACGTTGGTAAATTTATCTTTTCATACTCCTAAAACAAAGTATAAACTTATGAACAAGCGAAGTAGGTTATGTCACTTCCTGTTGGATTAATGAACTTTCCAAAAATTCACTGCTTCTATTCATTCCAGCTAAAAGATATATGATTAGTTTTTAATTTACATTGAATTATTCAAATCTCCATCCATTATCTTTTACCCGCTTCTTCCTTTTTGGGTCACGGGGGTCACTGGTGCCCATGTCCAGCCATCATTGTGCGAGGGGCGTGAGACACCCTGGACAGGTTTCCTGTCCATCACAAGGAGACATAGAGACAGTCACTCACACCTAGGGACAATTTAGAGTTACCAATCATGTTTTTGGTCTGTGGGAGGAAACCTGGGTACCCAGAGAAAACCCACGCATGCACGGAGAGAACATGTCCCAGAAAGGCCCCCGGACCGGGATTTGAACCGGCAACCTTCTCGCTGAGAGGCAACAGCTCTACCAGTTGCGCCACCATGCTTCTCTATTGAAATCTCACATTCAGTTATAGATATTTAAAGACATTGTCCTTATTTAATTTTTGTGGATGTATGAATAGGAAAACTATCTAACCTCTATGTTCACTGCTCTCCTGACTGTCCTGCTCAAACACTCTTGATAAAACTTAGCAAAAGCTTAATCGCATATTATTAGTGGACATTCCTGCTTTCCTAAATCCCACCACAAGACCTCATTTCAGTGTCTTTACTTTAGCAAATTAAAGTTAGCATGGAAATGTTTGTTAGGACTTAAAGTTGCTTTTACTTGAAGGGCATCGTTCAGATGTTAGATAGTTTTTTCATGAATGATATGCCTAAAGTTGTTCCCTAAGATTAAAATCAGTGTTGCTAAAAAAACAAAACATGCACCACGCCCACACTAACGTGTACTCATGTCTCATCTTCCGTGCTAGCTACAAGCCACGTGCAACATTGAGCAGTCCTTCTTCAACGACTGGTTCAGCGGACACCTCAACTTTCAAATCGAGCACCAGTAAGTGTAAAACCTGCCTCTTGAAAGCAACAAACAGTAAATCACCTGCATCTTCTGTTCAAACATAAAGGGAGTGTCTCGTATGGAAACTTGAAACAAGCTCACCTGCTTGAGTTTGTGGCTTTTCAGTGGAAACTGACCAGGAAAGTCTCTGGCAGTTTAAATCATCATCAGTAGTTCGTCCTGAACAAACACCAGGGACCAGTATGCAACGTCAGACTGGCAGGTTCAGTTTGGGATCTTCAGGATCATGAAGCTGATTAACTTGTGAACCTTTAGTTACCTCACTGGTCCTGCTTCACAGTGCAGGCCTCAGGTGGTGAGAGGAGGAGCTAAAACAAAGGCAGCTGAGCAAATGAAAATGCTATGACAACAATTAAAAGCTTACTAAGCCCCAAACTTCATCATACCAGAGTTAAAACTCAACACCTGACAGAATAAGACTGGAGTTGGTTTATAAAGCCTGAGTCTCATGGGCTGGGACTGTTGGAGACACGTTGGAGGCATAAAACTGTGAAACATTACACAATTTTTCACTGACATCGAGGCCAAAACTTGTCAGGAGTTTGCATTTGTTTTGTTAGAATTTAATTATAAACCGTCCTAGTTGTGTTTAATTGTGTTTGCAATATATTCTAATTTTCCGGGCGGTTTTGTTGCACTCTCACTGTGCCCGGAATGTCTGAATCCTTTTTTTTCATGGATAGTTAATTGTTGCCATAGTTGTCTCACACTTTTTGACTCATAGAAACTAAACTGAGAAGGTCCTGATGCTGCTCAGTAATCCAGCTGGATAAATTGAACCAGATCAAGTCTGGTCCTCTGGATGGATTCTTCCTTGTTGAAACGTTGCATCTTTCATCCAAAAGACTTCTTCAGTCTGTCTCGAACTAGACTGAGGCAGTCCTGGCCAAAGTGGTCTTTGGACTGAAGAGGTCCAGAGGACTTGACTTCTTAGATTTATCTACCTGGATTATTGAGCATGCATCAGGAAACTTTGTGGACGTTTCCATAATTTTGGAAACTCCTTTGTGAACGCTGTTTGCAGTTTGTCACCCGGAGTCACAGCCCAGTGAGATACTGGCTTAAGATGCAAAACTGGGACGTGTGAAGGCAACTTTATGAATCTTTAGCTGTCATTGGACTTCCCAGGGTTTCTGGTTTCTTGTAGACAACAAGGTGCAGCTTCACAAACCACTGAAGCTTCTGTGTTGAAAATGTAAAGTTAATTTCTGAGGCCGAGTCAACAGTGAGGTGACGTGATTACAGCCCGACCATGTGATTAACTGTCTGGGATCCACACAGCCCAGGAGGAGACTCACTGTTTGACTAAAATCCACTGTGACAGGTTTTAAGAGTTACGCTCAGGTTGTTTGTTGGTACTGGTCATTTTCCCGTTGATCTTTTACCTCACAAAGCAACACACAGGTACCAGGTCCAGCAGCTCTTTCAATAAATAGAACTACAGTAACTTCATCAAATTCAGAATTCAGGCTCAGTCTGAAGTGTGCAGAAAACTGTGCAGAGAGACAGATTTACCTGTGAGGTTTTATGAAGAGATAAATGACAGTTCCTGTTGGATCCTCCACCAGTTACAGAACCAGTGACACCACAGCTTAGTTGTTGATTTTTATTTAAGCTTTATTTATACGGGTAGTCTCAATGGGTCACGAGGACTCGTTTTCAAGAGAGACCAGTTTGGGAGCAGATGTGGGGGATTAAGGGTCTTACTCAGGGGCCCAGAGTGGGGCGAATGAGGGTGGAGGCAGGTGTGGGTGCTTCACCTTTACCACCCACATTTTGATGATGTTGGTCCGGGGAGTGGAACCGGCGACCTTCTGCTCACAGGCCCACCTTCTCTAACCTCTGCACCACCACTCCCCGACTTGAATTTAAAATTAAGATTGAATTTGATGAATTTTCTAAATTCCTCGTGTTCAGTTTCTTGAGCTGAGTCGGGTGCTGACATGCCGTCATCTCTGAGGGACACATTTCTTCATCTTCATCCTTGTTTTTTCCCTCCCAGTTTGTTCCCCAGGATGCCGCGTCACAACTACCACCTGGTGGCTCCGCGGGTCCGCGCTCTGTGTGAGAAACACGGGATTCCTTACCAGGTTAAAACTTTGTGGCGAGGCATGGCGGACGTCGTCAGGTAATCTACTGAGAACGGGCCGACGGAACCAGAACTCACACACGGTCTCAGTTTCATTTCCTTTATTCGTTTGAAAGGACTGCGCACATTTGTTAAAATTCCAAGAACGTAAATGTGCCGGACTTAGCACGACTGAATTTCATCCGCTGTCCAAAGCAGATAAAAAATAAAAAGAGTTTGTAGAACAAAACTGATACAACAATCCATAAACAAACACAAACATCACACGACATGTCATGAATGAGTACGACTGATTTGAAGTTTCTTTTTAAAAACTGTCACAGTCTCTGATATATTCTGGTAGTTAAATGTTTTCCTCTAATTGACGTCACCTTTCCCCCAAATACCGTTCTCCGTCTTGCTACGAAACCATCGTAACTATTCAGTTCATTGTATGTATTTTTCAGACTATAAGGCTCACTTAAAATCCTTTACTTTTCTCAAAAATCAACAATGAGCCTTATAATCAGGTGCACGTTATGTATTAATTCTGGCTGTGCTTACTGACCTCAAGCTGATTTAATGTGGAACGTGGTGCTCAAAAATCTTTCAAAATGAACTTATTTCACTTCATGCGCCTTATAGTCCGAAAAATACGGTACTTAAGAGGCAGTTTGTCTTTTTTGTGTGTTAAAGAACAACTGAGTGTCTCATAAACTGGCTGGTAATATTTATTTATTTATTTATTCATTTATTCATTTCATTTCAGTTAAAACAAGACTTATTCCATACAAATAAAATAAGATACATATAAAATGAAAGGCAGCAGAAGAAGAACAAATTCTTATCATTTCTGCCCCTTCTAAACAATATCAATTAAAATAATGGCCATTTTGTCTTTTCAGATCACTAAAAACCTCGGGGGACCTCTGGCTCGATGCATATCTTCACAAATGACAAGACGGTTGCACATTTAAGGATCTTATACGTACAAAAAGTATTGTTAAATTATTAAATTCTGCTGGAAATGTTGGAACGTTTTAATTTTAAGACGTTGAAGTCAACAGGTTCAGTTTAGTGAATTTTACAGAATCTTGATCAACACAGATCTGGTGTTTTAAGTAAAACTGACTAACTTTATTACAAATTATCTTTCAAACTCTCATTCTTGATTAAATATTTTAAGCATAAACTGGTCCAGATGAAATGATTGAATCTTTTTTTGTTATCTACCTGGACGATTGAGCCTACAAACCTTTTTGTTGTTTTTTCTGTAAAAGCTGACTGTTTTGAATCTGAAACGTATGTTCTGCTTTTAATTTCAACATAAATAAATTGTAATCACTCCTATTTTTTACAATTTGAGCTCTTTAATGCAGTGACAAATACAAGAGGTGTTCACAAAATGTGTTGTAAAATATTTCCTAAGTTTCTCTGTGTCCAGTCTTATTCGAACTTTGTGGGGGATTTGGTAAACCTAAAACAACTTGATTGTGTAAATGCGTCTGAAAGCTGAAATGATCAGTGACATTTTTCCAGTTGCTATGACAGCACAGCTAAAACCTCGAGAGACTAACGTGATTATAGAGCAGCAGCAGACCACTCTGGTTTTCTTACATCAATAAAAGTTATGCCCTCCTCTGCTTTAGGAATGTTATAAAACTCCACTAACTACTTTCTGTGTTTCCCTCTTTCAGGGATGATGTTTTTGCACATGCCAGTCTCTGTCTGTTAGCAAAAGATCTCATAAACCACTGGACAGATTTTAATGAAACCTGCAGAAATTAATCTTAGCATCTGCAACTGATTCACTTCAAGAGTCAGTCCAATTCAAAATGGCTGCCACAGCCAATGCCTTTAAAAACACAAAAATGGCTGTAATTCAAACAATTTTGCAGATGTTGACCTTAAACTTGGTGTGGTAGTAGATTAAACTAATCCACAACACATTCTGAGAGCTAACATATTGCACAAGATAAATAAACTGTTTTTAATGTAATTTAATTGTTTGGAGTCAAGAGCTGTGCAGATTTTAATGTATTTTTCAGGAAGTCATCACTGATACATCAACTGATTAACCTTTTTGGAGCCAAGCCAATTCAAGATGGCTGCTTCAGCCAGCTGACCTTAGAAAACACAGACATGGCTGTAATTCAGTCCGTTTTACAGACACTGAACTAAAAATCAGAGTAGTTTTGAGCTTGTGTTTGTTGTGTTGAAGGTTTGACTACAAAGGCTTCAGCCCTGATATTTGTCAACTACATGAAAAGTAACATTTTAACTTTAGGGTTTATTTAATTCAACTTCCTAGAAAGCAACAAAGTCCTAGAAAGTGTGACATAAGTGGCATTAGAGAAGCACTCCTCTTTTTTTTACAAGATTAATACATTTAAAAACATTTTTAATGGTGGGTTTCCTCGTTGCGCCACGTTAATGAGCAGAGCAGAAAGCTCAGCTGAACTAAAGTCTTTTTTTTTTTTTGGTGCTTTAGCCAAATGAACAAAGACTGTGCTGAAAGTTCGCTGCAGGAATGTAGGTCACGCTGCAACCGACTCCAAATGTCCTGCTGACTGTAAACGTCTCGTCTTACCAATCCAATGCTTCTTTATCAACACATCTTTTAGGTCTTTAACGTGTAAAAGCTAAAAGTTCCAGATCCTGTCCACTGACAGCTGCTGAACATGATAAAACGCACCATTAGAGCATTATCCTGTTCACCATCTCTGATGTACAAATACCTAAAAATATACCAGGAACAGGAAACTGTACGGATGTGTGTGTGAAGTGAGTCTGAAGACAAAGAACTGGAAATAAACTGGTTAATATTTGAGTAGTCAGATCAGAGATCAGACCTTCAGTTAAAGGATCGGGAAAAAAACTTTTTTTTAAGTCTAAAAGTTGATGTCTTTCACAAACGTTCTGATTAATCTGGAAAGCCTTTTTTACAAGATGTGAAATCCAACAGTAAAATTCAAAATTCTTTCAATTCTCCAGCAACTGTCCATCCATGCTGTCAGGTTTCATGCTGTTCATTCACAAAAACAGTCTCTTTGAGTTGGACTTTCTTCTTTGACTGTGATTTTGATGAAAAGCCTTAAAAACCATCTGGAGCCTGAAATAATTTTAGACAAATGGCGGCAGATGAACTTATTGGGCAGAAATGCAGGTTGTCTGTGCTGCTGGAAGATAATAAAGTTTTATATGCTGAGGACTACAGAAATGTACATATTTTTGTCTCTGTTTTTGCTCTCTAATATTGAATTTTCACTTTTTAAAAAAAATCATATTTAAACAACAAAAAAAACAACGACCCATTGAGCTTTAGGCAACAATCAGAGCAACATTAGTACAGTGGAACAAGAAACTTCCATTATTTTTGTCTTGAATGCTGTTTTTCATAACCATGTTCAAAGAAATACCACATTTTGATACGTTTATTGTGTAGGAATATTAACTGGAAGATGGCAGAAACAATAAGACCTTCATTGTTCTCTTAATACGTACTTTAGGTTTCATGATTAATTTCTTCTTTTTTTTTACCATATCAGCAAAAGATCACTTGTTGCTGACTCAAAGTTAATTCAAATGTTGTTTTTCCAGCAACAGCATTTCAGTTATGGTTATTGACAAAGTCAAAATGTGATGTGTTAAAAGACCTCACAGCTGGACTGACTACAAGATGCTCAAACTCCACGAGGAACAAATGCAACATGACCCCAGAAATACATATTTAACCCAGAGAGACACTAAATGACAACAGGGAAGTTTAATGATTGCACAAAGATTAGAGAAGGGACACACAATTACCTCGGAGATATGCAAGAGACAGGATTACAATAAGCAGATGGGAAATGAGCATAGAGCAATATAGCATTGTACAAATGTACCATGACCTGGAGGAAATGGGAAAAAGATCATAAAGTATTGGAGGAAAATACTGAAATATTATTAGGAAATACTTCTATGCATAAAAATGTCTAATAAAGAAACAAACTATTAAACAGTCTGAGGGTCTTAATATGAAACAAGTATTTGTATTCTGGTCATAAAGTGTAAAAATCTGCAAGTTTTCCCTACAGATGGGACAAAATAAAGTAATAATCAAGTATTTATTCATTTTTAAAGATGCTCCGATAGAAGTCAACATTTTCAGATTTTATAGGACTTTTTAAAGGAAACTTTAAGATACTTGCAGAGTTGCATATAATAAAATCAAAGGGTACTTAGGGGGTACATGCAGGACTCCTAGTACTTACAGGGTATGTGCAGAGATACATACAGGGTACTTCCAGGGATAAAGGGTATTTATAAGTTGGTTACAGACAGAGTTACATACAGAGTAATTACAGAGTATTCACAAAGCATGTATAGGGAAACTTGTAACAGAAACTAGAAAGTTCCTGGAGAAACCTCGACAGGGACTGCCACGTTGCAGCCATTTTAAAATTTTGATTTGACAACTTCAGCTACAAGTACTTGGGTGTGCACCTGAATGACAACCTCAGCTGGAGCAACAACACCACCAGCCTGATCAAAGAAACTCATCAGAGACTCTACTTCCTCAGGCAGCTGAGACGAGCTGGTCTGGGAAGCTCAGTCCTCACCTCCTTCTACAGGTGTGCAGTGGAGAGCATCCTGTGCTCCAGCATCAACGTGTGGCATGGAGGCTGCACAGCTGCAGAAAGAAAAGCTTTGCAGAGAGTGGTGAAGGCTGCACAGAAGTCTGTTGGAGTCAGTCTCCCCACCATCACAGACATCTACACCTCCAGATGCAGGAAGAGGGCCACCTGCATCATGAAGGACCCCACTCACCCAGCACACACACTTTTTGCCCCATTCCCCCCAGGCAGGAGGTTGAGGAGCATTAAGTGTAGAACCACTAGACTGAGGAACAGCTTCTAACCTGAAGCTGTTAGACTCATGAATCTCTAACCAGAATAATCACTGTGAAAAATCACATCATGTTGCTGCTGATCTGTTTCATGTTGCTGCTGATCTGTTACATGTTGCTGCTGATCTGTTTCATGTTGCTGCTGATCTGTTACATGTTGCTGCTGATCTGTTACATGTTGCTGCTGATCTGTTTCATGTTGCTGTGTTCATTTGTGCTCACACAGACTCATGTTCGTGCTGCTGTTCAGCGTATTTTTTATGCTGCTAGTGCTTAGCATATTTTTAGTTAACATTTTTCTAAGTTCATATCTTAGATCTTATTACTGTTTTTCTTTTACATTTTATACTTTTGTTGGATGTAACTGGGACCCTGTGTACACAATTTCATTCCACCACATGTACCACATGTGGTGCAAATGACAAATAAAGAACCTTGAATCCCTGAATTATGTGTTGTGGTTCATGCTCAGCTACCACCACGGCAAAATTCAGCTCAATATGTCAAATATATACATATTTTTATATATAATAATCTAATATAATAATTAATAATAATAATATATATATATATATATATTATTTATTTATTTATTTTTATCAATGAGTTATAGTATTTTTTTTTCTTTTAAGTTATGATAGCCATCTTAGATTTTTTTTATTTGGATGTGATTGTGATGGAGAAACAACTGGCTCGGCACCGTGATGTGTACTATAACTTTATTGGCATTTTGAGTTACCATGGCGATGTAAGTCGCTAACAAAAACGCAAATTTTATCTTTGAAAAACACTGACGACTCTTATCGGCTTCTAACTGCCACTGCCACTTGACTTGGAGGGGAGAGGTCTCTGAATAAAACTCAGGTAAGTCATTGAGCAAACTCTTCCTACCACATCTTTCAAGATACACATACATATTATGTATCAAGACGTAGACATTTTTGTCATCTAAACTTTAAAATGGCCACCACATGGCAGTCCCCGTAAAAGTTTCTCCAGGAACTTTCTAGTTGGGCATTGCTCTCAGCTACCACACCAAATTTCAGCTGAATAGCTCTAAAAAGAGCTGAGTTACAGCCATTTGAATTGAACTTTGACAGCCATCTTAAATTTTTAGATTTGTATTCAGAA